AAAACCTAAACCATTAGGGTCCCCCTATTTTCGGAAACCCACAATTTGGTGCCGGACCTTGGCACCCTCGACACCGATTCCATTGCCAGAGATGTCCACTTCCAAGGCCTCTCATGGCTGAGGTCATAATAATTAGTGTAGCACTACTTTATGTGTATATGTATATGTATATATATATACACATACATACATACATACATACATACATACATACATACATACATAAATAAATACATAAATAGATAGATAGATAGGTAGATAGATAGATAGATAGGGCTCCTTGTATTCTTATCATTCTAGACCCTCAGCCCTACACCCTCAACTCTGATATACTATAGACCCCACCCCAAAAACCCTCTTCTTGGGCCCCCAAGTTGAGCGTTAAGCCTCCTAAAATTTGCAGCTGGGCCTGGGCTTTCCCTCCATTTCTAAGGTCCAAAAATCCTGGCGGGATTCAATGCACCCTAGGGGTTACGGTTTTAGGGTTTAGGCTTTACGGTTTCGGGTAAAGCCTGACCACCCACCCCCCCCCCCCCCCTTCCCCTTCTCCCCAAACCCTAAATAAATCCGAAACCCCCTAGTAGCCCAAACCCTGAACCCTAAACGCTAAACCCCAAACCCTAAACCCGAAACCCTCGAGTAACCCAAATGGCAAGGAGTCATGAAGGCCCAGCTTAGAACGTCCAGTCAAGAGCTTGCAGGATCCCGGAGCCTCTCGCAAAACAGCCTCTAGGGCTCAGATCTCCGGGAGAAAGAATGAGGGTTGAGGGTTTAGGGGTTGGGGGTGTAAGGGTTTAGGGGTGTAGGGGTTTACGGTTTAGGGTTTAGGGCTTCGGGTTTGGGATGCGTAACCGTGAGTGCCTAGCGTTTAGGGCTATGTAACTCTCCAGGCTAGACCATAGACTCTAGAGCCTGAACCTTAATCCAACACCCTGCTTAAGTTCAACACCTCTCTCCTAAAATGCCACAATATACCAAAACAGAATAGAATAGAACAGAATAGCACAGAACATAGCAGAATATAGAGAGCACAGAACAGCGCAGAATTTTTTAGAATGGAATAGACTATATAGAGTGCCATCCCTCTGTCTGCTCCTGCTGCCCATTCAAGAAAGGAAAAACCCCAGCCTCGAGCTGCGCACTCAGAGCCTGCGCCGGAAACACTCTTCAAGGCGGCCCGTATTGTCTCCATTTTAGTTCCTTTTTTTTGGGTTACCTTATAGGATCCTGTATACAGAATCAAGACGGTACCTATAGTCTCCATTTTAGTTCCTTTTTTGGGTTGCCTCATAGGATCCTGTAAAAAGAACTGGTGAAACAAACCAAAAAGGAACTACAATGGAGACTATAGGTTTGATCTGGAGTTGGGAATGTAGGAAAAAAGAGGGTTGAGAGTGTAGGGCTCGAGGCCAGGCGCTCACATCGGAGCCATGCAATGCGTCACAAAGAACTCCTCCACTGTAAGCAGGTGAAAGCTGTGGAAGCAATATCAAGGCAGAAATGACGGTATTGGTAAATATCCAGGCCTCTATACTAGATCAAGGCCCCAAACCTCGAACCCTGAAGTCTAAGCCCCTAAACCCCCAAACCCTAAGCCCCTAAACCGCTAAACCCTGAAACCCTAAAGCCCCAAGCTCTGAACCCGGCATTCGTAAGCCTAAGGCCTCAATCTTTTCGAATCTCCCCACGCGCTCCCATCAAGTACCCAGGGCCTTGGCGAGCGTCTTGGCTCCTCCAGCATTCAGGGCCTGAGAGATGGTTTTAGGGCTCAAGGGCTTTAGGGTTTGGATTTAGGTTTAGGGCCTCGGGGATTTAGAGGGGTTTAGGGTGTAGTGGCTCAGGGTTATATACATCAAGGATTTCAGGGGCTCAGGGGTAGTTAGGGTGGTTTCTTCGAGCTTCGGAAGCTAATTTGGGGTTTTTAGGCCTGTGGGTTTATGGTTTGGGGCTTGGGAGGGACCTTGGGGACGAAGTTGCGGCTTCGAGGTTGCAGGGTTTGGCGCTTTGGGTTGGGGCGCCAGAGTTTACAGGGTTTGCAGATCTACGTACTTCCAGGCAGCACAGGACCGAACACGTCGGTTTGTTTGGGGCTGTGGTCAGTACCTTCGTTAGGGTTCTCCTATGGAGAAGCTAGTTAGTTATACCGCCTTCACTGCTAGCCGACTTTCTAAGCCTTTTCCTAGTGGGGAGGCAGCTGCCAATGTGTTTTGCTGGTGTCTGCATTAGGGCGGAGTAGTCTCATGATTGCTCGACAGCCCAGGGTACAAGCAGAATACAAGCACTAGATGGGATTGTGGCTAAGTCAGGTCCAACTTCCCTGCTGTTCTGAACTTCCTAGATAAGTCCGTGTTATGTATGCGTATGTCTGTCTGTCTGTCTGTCTGTCTGTCTGTCTGTCTGTCTGTCTGTCTGTCTGTCTCTGTGTGTCTGTCTGTCTGCCTGTCTGTATGTATGCATGCATGTATGATGTACGTGTGTGTATGTATGTGTATGTATGAATGCATGCATGTATGTATGCTCGTGTCTGTCTGTCTGTCTGTCTGTCTGTCTGTCTGTCTGTATGTATGTACGTACGTATGTATGTATGCATGTATGTATGTATGTATGTATGTGCGTGTGTTTGTTTACATATATATATATACACACACACAAACACAGACACATACGCATACACGCGCAGGTACACATACACGTACACGTAAACATACACGTGCACGCACACGTACATGTACACATACGCATAGACATACAAATAGGATTTCTACACATACACATACATGGCCGCATACATATGTACATACCTATATGTATAAAATGACTTATACAGCCTATATGATAGCTAGAACATAGCGGCACAGCGACTATATAGCTGTAAGGAAACACGTACGAAAATAAATCTATCTACCTACCTACCTATCTATCTAGCTATCTATCCATCTCGTTAAAGGTATTGTATTTCTATGTGGGTGTTTGCACAGACATGCACAGATCTATAACTCGCAGAAGTCTGTTGGATTTCCGAGCCTGGTAGCCCTAAACCCTAAACTCCGAGCCTGGTAGCCCAGGTTGACCGACACAGCTTTGGTGTCGGAACCCTGCGCGCGAGTTACTAAGTCGAGCTAGGAAGGCATCAGAAATAGAGCAGCAGAGGAGCAGGTATAGGGTGTAGGGCTTAGGGTCTACGGATTCAAGGTTCAGGAGTTCATCTGTGGGGTCTAGGATTTGGTGATGTTTATAAGGAATTATAAGTTAGTGCCTACGGATCTTTTTTTTTTGGGGGGGTGTTGATAAGATTGGGGTTTGTTTGCATACGGAGCTTGTCAAGAGAAGCTTGAAGCTCATGCGATGTTTCTTGGTGTTCTATGTTGGGGGAAGTTCTCTACATTAGGGTCCCTTTTTACGGGCCTTTCTATCAGGGTGCCGTACTATCTCGGCGACGGGGCCCTAATTTAGAGAACTACCCATTTATGTAAACATATACTTCTTGAACTGTGTATGGAACGAGACGGCTCTATAGCCATATAACAAAAGTGCGTGTGTATATATATATGACTCTAGGTAAGTGGATAAATAGATAGATATACAGATGTGTGTGTGTGTGTATGTGTGTGTGTTTGTGTACGCTCCAAGGTAGAAATCTGGTTGCGCAGAAGTCTTCAGGAACAAAGCAAGCCTGAGCTAGCACTGCTGCAAGCGATCTACTTTGCAGTTTCGCGAGACCCGAAGACCGCTTTTTGCCCGCTGAATCTGTTTACCTGCCTATTCGGGCAGTGTCAATATTTACGTTGTTCGGGTAAACTGACTTTATAAGAGCTAGGGGTTCGAGAGAGATTAAATGGGCTAGGAAGTTCAAAATTACGGCACTTGGGAGATGGTAGTTAAGCAGAAAAAAAGCAGCAGACAGCAGGTGAGCTTGCAACGGCTGAACAGCTGCAGGGAAGATGCACTTAAGGGGGCGAAACGCACACCCACACTCGGCTTGTAGTTGCACGTGAGTACATCACAAGTCCGGCTATTGTTCTGAGTATTGACCACATCCGCTTATTCTCCTCGCCCCAGGGCCTGAAAAACCTCACTCGGTGTTCTGCGCCGTCTTGAGTCATGAAAAGTTAGGAACTTAGCTCTTTTGCCTTATGCGACCACTGGGTCGATGCAGTGATGCTTTATAGGTGTTGGGTCTAGCAAACCAATACCCTAAGCCTCCAGGTACCTACTATAGAGGGTACTAGGGCGCCTAGAGCCTAGGGCCCTATATTATAGTAGGTACCTGGAGGGTTAGGGACACGCTTTTTGACTTTTTTGAGCAATGAAGAAAGGCGTTCGCTGACGAATTGCCCTTGCAGGTTCACTACGCGGTCGGGCGAATTTTTCTGGGCAGGACATCGAGCGATAGGTCGATAATCCTCTCTAGCATTCCGTTGGCATAGCATGGCCAGGGGCCACAGATATCAAAAGCTTGCCGTCAGTATCATGATCCAGTGCAGTCCAGGACGGATGTTGCCAACTTGGCCATTGCAAAAAACCATGAAAGCGCCCCTGGAAGCTTGCACGCAATTTCTCTGGACGATCTAACCGACTTGCACGAAATTAAACGGGCTTGCTTGCATCACGGACACCGGGAAGCGTTGAGAGAACACTTACCGGAGACTCGTGTCGGACTGCCTTTGGCGCCCGGAGAACACCATAAACAAAGAGTACCAGCATGGTGAGACGTCGATCTGCTTGCGATTCCTGCGGGTCTTACCATCATAATATTTCAGGTCTGGCCCCCACCCATTCACAGAACGCTGGGGCAAAAGCTACCCCTCTTCCTCTAAACTTGGCTGAACGGGTGGAAACCGAACCTGGGATTTACGCCATTCTTTTTTTTTCCCAAAGGGTCCTAGGTACTGTTATGGGGCATACTTCCCCAAATCATAATATAAAATCCTAGTATAGAAACCCTACATTCTATATATACTATATAGGTACTTTGGACCCTTTGGGTTTTATAAGACATCTTAGCTGGGCTCCAGGAGCACTGTGAAGCGCCAGGAGAGGGTGCGGCAGCACCTGGATGCCCCGGGGCGTAGAGGCCATGCCAATCGATGCCATGATTACAATTGTAAGTACCATACTGTAGGGGCCTTGCAAAGTAGAACCCATCATACTATAATTATAATGAGGAACCCCCCCCAAAAAAAAATAACATAAGTATGTATTTAGGCCCCTATATCATAAACCAAAGAAGCCGATAAAGCATCGACGAAGCTCAGCAGGAGACGACCACACTTGCGAGCTCAAGCCGGAGCTCGAAACCCAAAGCCCCAAACCCCGATTCAATTTGCCAGAAGACCGAAGTCTTTAGGGTTTAGGGGTTTTTTAGGTGTTCAGGGGTTGTTTAGGGGTTTTTTAGGGGTTTAGGGTGTAGGGTCATGTAGGCTAAAATATTCTAGAAACCTGCAGGCGAAACGGTTGCAAACCTGAGCCATCAAACGCCTTGAGCCCCCAAACCCTCTCCAGCCCCTAAACCACTAAACTCCCAACTTCCCTAAACCCCACCCCCCCCTCCCCCCCGCCAAAAAAAAAAAACAAATCCTAAAGCCCTGAACTCCTACAGCTCCAGAACCCTCCAGAGCCCAGAGCCCAGGCGCTGTTCCACGCTGAGTTCGGATCCCAGCCTCGGCACGACGACGTCGCCGTGTTGCAAGGAGGCGAGGTCGTCCTCAGCTGAACAAACAGAGGTTATATATGGTTTAAAAGTTCTACGGGGTTTGGGGCTTAGGATTTGAAGTTTCTAGGGTTTGGGGTTTAGGGTTTAAAGTTTCAAGGGGTTTGGGGCTTACGGTTTAAAGCTTGTAGGGTTTAGGGCTTCAAGTTTGTAGGTTCAGTGTTTGCTGAGGTTTAGGATTCAACAGCACGAAAACGCAGCAAGAGTACTACATAGGCATCATTCTCACAGTCAATGTCACAAACGATAGCTGGAAACATAGGGGCTATAGCCACGCGGGAGCTCAAGTCAAAGCCTCGATGTGATCCCTAAACCCTAAGCCCTATAAACCCTATAAACCCTATAAACCCTATAGACCCTATAGACCCTATAAACCCTATAAACCCTATAAACCCTATAGACTCTATAGACCCTATAAACCCTATAAACCCTATAAACCCTATAAACGCTATAAACCCTATAAACCCTATAAACCCTATAAACGCTGTAAACCCTAAACCACGATGTGATCCCGGCCGAGCTGCGAGAATCAGGCGTTGGGGCTCCACTCCCTCCCGGACGCGCCAGAGGCCCTTGCCTCGCTTGGATGTAGGGTGTAGGTCCAGGTCTCATTAGAAGGAGCCTGGGGCTTGGAGTTGAGAGTCTAGAGTTTAGAATCGGGTTCCACTCATGGGTGCTGAAGCAAAATCGGGATGTAGGAGTCGACTTCGCCGCGTCTGCGGCCGCATCTGCTGGTTGGCTCAGGGCTGAGACTTTCGGAAGCGACGGGTCTGAGGACCGTGTCTCAGTTCTTCAGGGGTCCCGGGGTGTTGGATGCTAAGGCCGCCCCAAGTATACTTTCACCCACCCGAAGACCGGTGTTTCGCGATCGTACATGTCCACGATGTTTGCTCATATCTGCCCAACGCTAGCCCCCAGATTCAAATGTCGCCGTGCCACTCGTGAGGCATAGGAGCCAGAAGACGCCACCCTCCGAAGCAATGCAGAAGTGGTCCCGGTCCACGATATTCGTGAAGCCCTTCCTGGGACAGGGAAGTCGATCGGCCCCTAGACCCCAACCTCTGTAGAAGCCCACGCTAGTGGATGAAGGTGGTTTGGAATACACCTCATCTCCATCCTACGGTGAGGCTGAAGCACTGCTTGTGGAGTCGACTTAGGGTTTTGGGCTCAGCTGTTCAAGGGTTCAGGGCTTCGGAAGTTGAGGGCTACGGGGGTTTTGGAGGAATTGCGCACTCGGAAAGGGCTGAAGGCGCGGCAAAGGCAAGGGAGGGATGGTGCAGGCTCTGCTCCCAAAGGCACATGTCGCGCTTTTCTCATCCCTCAAGCCTCGTGCTCAGTGGCACGGGGCTGGAGAAGGAGGCTCATATGGGCTAGGATGCCCACTGGAAGAACCCTAAACCCTAAACCCCTAAACCCTAAAACCCTAAACCCCCTAAACCACGGTGATGGCAGCCTGACTGCGGCCCGGCAACAGGGCCGCATCGTTGGCGATGTGCGGCTGGTGGCGTGAGCCCACGAGGAGCCTTAAAACGGGGAGAGGTTGGGAGATAGATAGATAGATCGATCGACAGATAGACAGCGACAGATTCCGATAGATTCAGGTAGATCCAGACAGATAGATAGATAGACAGATAGATAGGTAGGTAGGTAGGTAGGTAGGTAGATAGACAGATAGACAGGCAGACAGACAGACAGACAGACAGGCAGGCAGGCAGGCAGGCAGACAGACAGACAGAGGGATAGATAGATAGATGGATAGAAAGATAGAGATAGATAGATAGATAGATAGATAGATCGCTACATAAATAGATCGCTAGATCGAAAAATAATGATAGATAGATACATCGATAGGTAGGTCTTGTAAGACTAGCAACCGTTAACTCTCTTATCCAACGTTCTTCTATTCAGATTAACCTAATACTGCTTGGTAAAGGGCTAGATAGGCCAGATAAGATCTATCCCTATATCTACATATCAGTGAAATTTGCTCGTCATTGTGTCCCGGCCCCTAAACTGCAAAACCAGCCCTTGCCAAAAACCTTGGCCTTAAAGCCTAAACCCCTTCGGAATATTCAGGCCCTGGATACTAAGCCCTATAAAGCCTAGAGGCGTCAACCATCAAGACAAACAAACATGCAGATGCGGCCCTCCAAAGCCTTCGAAACGGATATCAGATCACACACCGTACACTAACCCCTTGTAGTACCCCATATAGAGTCGCCCTTTACAGTAGCCCTTTCACCTGCTGCTAAGCAGCGGCTTCCCTGCCAGAGACACAGGTCCGATGCTCCGCCTCTCCATGCCCAGGTTCGCCACCTGCCGAAACCAGGCACCGGGACTTGTGTTTAAGGTTTAGGGCTTCGGGCATTTAGGATTTAGAGTGTTTAAAGCTTTAGTTTAGGGCTTTGGTAAGGTTTAGGGTTTACGGTTTAGGCTTCAGGGTTCATGAGGGTTCAGGGTGTGGGGTTTCAGGGCTTCGGGAGGGTTTGCGGAGTTTAGGGTTGGTAGTTTAGGGCCTGTAGAATGAGAGCTGGGTCATTCGAGAGGGCTTGGGCGTACTATAATATGTTATAAAAACCATATGGTATGGCTCTGTGCTTGATTTCACAGGGTCTCGAGGCCTTAGGGCTTATGAGTCTGAAGGGTTTGGGGATTTTGGCGCTTGGGTGGTGAAGTGTCCGAAATAAGTGTCGAGCTTGTTGGGGGGAGGCGAACAACAAGACTGCCTTTTCTCTCCATTGCAGTTCCTTTCCTGGCATACCTATGGTCTCCGTTGTAGTTGTTTTTGGGGTTTAACCAAGTCAAAAATTTAGGATCCTACAAGGTAGCCCCAAGAAGGAACTACGACACAGCAGACTGTAGGCACTGCTAAACCCTAAACCCCTGACCCCTATAAACCTTAAACCCCTGAACCCCTAAACCCAAAACCTTAAACCCCTGAACCCCTAAACCCTAAACCCTTGACTCTTACTGCTTCGGGGCCCCGGATGCAAGAGGCCCACCTGGTCTCCCCAAAGCTCCAGACACACCACAGGCGGTGCGACCGCGTTTGCGGCGCTCGCGCCGCTGGTTGCAGCAACGGTACTTCGTGGCGCAGCCTCGACAGGATTTTTGGGCCCAAGAGCTGAAAGCTTTCAAAGCTTTCGCGTTGAAGTTTGAAGGGCATTCCAACAGCCAAATCAGTTCAGGTTCCCCAACCTAGTCAAAATTAGGCGCGAATTCCGGATGCAGCAAAGCATGTGGAGATGCAGGGATTCAATTCAATAGTGGGATTGGGTGCAATGCACGGTAGATTGGGGGGTTATCCCGTGGCTCAGCACCTGAACTTCAAGGAGGGATTAAGCTGGGTGGGTATGGTCGTGGAGGCTCCAGAGCCGGATTCTCTAAGAGTCAGGGCTGAGTCTCGCTTCGATTTCGAGTATCGGGCTTCGGTTTGGTCATCAGTGTTCGGTGTTCGACTTCCTTTTTGGTTTGGGGCTTAGGGTGTCGCAATGAAGTGAGGAGGTCTTGCAAGCTTCGAGCTGTGCTTGCAGGAAGTGTTTGGACACTTCGCTGCCTGCGCCTGCGCCTGCGGGACGCCTGGGATGCTGGTCCGGAACTCCATGTCCTGCGCAAAGCTGCTCGGAACCTTCGACCTTTACGTTTCTTACCCGATCGACGTACAGCTTAAGCCTTCCTTCGCCAGGTGCATCTCTCTCTCGAGCATCGACCAGTCTTGCCAAGACTGCCCGATCTCAGAACAGCTAAACGGAAGCCTCGATGGGCGGAATTCTGGTCCCCGGACTCATCTAAACAAATTTGTATGTATATATACATATATATATACACATCTCTCTCTCTCTCTCTCTCTATATATATATATATATATACACACATATATATATATATAGATGTGTGGAGAGAGAGAGAGAGAGAGAGAGAGAGAGAGAGAGAG